CCAGCCCTCCCCTTAGAATGGGACTATAAACAGGGGAGCATAAATAATGAGACAGTATTGGTTGGTACAAAAATCAATGATGTAAAAATATCTGATTTAATATTTTAAATTAAATACATACATTGAAAAAAAATTAAAATGCTGGTTTTGTGCATTTTAAAATGAATTTCAATTTCCATCCAAATGCAGCTTGGCATAAATCAGAAACAAAATAATCTAGTAAATAAGGAATACACCACTCACCATTTTCTAACAGTTAAAATGTAAAAAGGATAAGTTTGAATAAATGTTAAGGTATATCACTATTTAAATAAATGTGTATTAATATTGTGCATTGTATGGAGGCAGTAGAAGGACCAAAGGACTCTGAACTGGAAATGATCCTTCCCTCGTAGGAAACAAAGATACTTGTGGTGTGCCAGACAGATTAAAATATGAAAATGTGTGTCCTTTAGGTCAAAAGCTAGAAACCAGTGTGATGCTGAAAGGGAAGATATTCATAGACTTGTAGGATGGAAGAGGTCACCTAATACAGTCTGCTGCACTCATGACAGGACTGAATATTATCTAGAGCATCACTGTCTAACCTGCTCTTAAAAATCTCCAAGGATGGAGATTCCACAACCTCCTGAGACAATTTATTACAGTTCTTAACCACCCTGACAGTGAGGAAGTTTTTCCTAATGTCCAACGTAAACTGCCTTTGCTGCAATTTAAGCCCATTGCTTCTTGTCCTGTCTTCAATGGTTAAGGAGAACAATTTTTCTCCCTCCTTCTTGTAACAACCTTTTATGTACTTAAAATTCATTATCATGTGCTCTCTCAGTCTTCTCTTCTCCAGACTAAACAAACCCAAATTTTTCAATCTTCCCTCATAGGTCATGTTTTCCAGACTGTAATCATTTTTGTCACTCTTTTTTGGACTCTCTCCAGTTTGCCCACATCTTTCCTAAAATGTGGCACGCAGAACTGGACAGAAACTCCAGTTGAGGCATAATCAGCGTAAAGCAGAAGAATTACTTCTTATATCTTGCTTACAACACTCCAGCTGATACATCCCAGAATAATGTTTGCTTTTTTTGCAACAGTATTAACACTGCTGGCTCATATTTAGCTTGTGATCCACTATGATCACCAGATCTTTTTCCACAGTACTCCTTACTAGCCAGTCATTTCCCATTTTGTATGTGTGCAACTGATGGCTCCTTCTTAAGTGGAGTACTTTGCATTTGCCCTTATTCAATTTCATCCTATTTCCTTTAGACTCTTTCTACAAAAAGTGACAAAGAGTCCTGTAGCACCTTATAGACTAACAGACATTTTGGAGCATCTTCCGTTAGTCTATAAGGTGCCACAGGATTCTTTGTCGCTTTTTACAGATCCAGACTAACACGGCTACCCCTCTGATACCCTTTCTACAGTTTGTCCAGATCATACTGAATTTTAATACTATTTTCCAAAGCATTTACAACCCCTCCCAGCTTAGTATCATCTGCAAACTTTATAAATGTAATCTATGCATTATCTTAATCATTGATGAGGATATGGAACAGAACTGGACACAGAAGTGATCCCAGCAGGAGCCTATTCAATACACCCTTCCAGTTTGACTGTGAACCACTGATAGTTACTCTCTGGGAACAGGTTTCCCAACAGTTATGCACCGAGCTTATAGTAGCTCCATCTAGGTTGCATTTCCCTAGTCTTTTTATGAGAAGGATGTTCGAGAAAGTATCAAAAGCCTTACTAAAGTCAAGATATACCACATCTACCCCTTCTCCCCTATCCACAAGGCTTGTTACCCTCTTAAAGAAAGCTATTAGGTTGGTTTGACTTGATTTATTCTTGACAAATCCAGGCTGACTGTTATTTATCACCTTATTATCTTCTACGTGTTTGCAAATTGACTGCTTGATTATTTGCTCCTTTATCTTTCCGGGAACTAAAATTAAGATGATGATCTGTAATTCCCTGGGTTGTTCCTATTTTCCTTACTATAGATAGGCACTATATTTACCCTTTTCTGGTCCTCTGGATTCTCTTCCATCTTCCATGACTTTTCAAAGATAATCACTAATGGCTCAGATATTTCTTCAATCAGCTGCTTGGGAATTCCAGGATATATTTCATCAAGCCCTGCTGATTGGAAGACATCTAATTTGTTGAAGTAATTTTTAATGTCTTCCTTCCCTATTTTAGCCTCTGATCATACCTCATTTTCCCTGGCATTAACTATGTTATATGTCCAATTGCTACTAGCCTATTTGGTGAAAACTGAAACAAAAAAAGTCATTTAGCACTTCCTGCATTTCCACATTTTCTGTTGTTGTTTTCCCCCCTTCATTGAGTAATGGGTCTCTCCTGTCCTTGGTCTTCCTTTTGCATCTCATGTATTTGTAGAATTTTTTCTTGTTACCTTTTATATCCCTAGCTAGTTTAATCTCATTTTGTGCCTTGTGCTTTCTAATTTTGTCCCTACATTATTGTAGTATTTGTTTATATTAATCCTTTTTAATTTGACCTAGTTTCCACTTTTTGTAGGCCTCCTGTTTTTTTTCAGATCACTGAAGATCTCTTGGTTGAACCAGGGTCAAGAAATTGATTTTCTTTAGGTCTATTACAAAACAAAGATCTCAGTCCTCCTTTGGGAATAGGAAGTGCCAGGAATACAATGCTTTCACACTGAACTCCCCTATACTATGACCACTGCTTCCTGAAGAGAGAACTTCTGCTCGCAGGTTCACAGAGCCCTAGCTAGGATGATTTAGTTGGGGTTGGTCCTGCTTTGAGCATGGGGTTGGACTAGATACCTCCTGAGGTCTCTTCCAATCCTAATCTATGATTCTATGACATGGGAGTTGAATCTGAACTGGGATTATGATAAAGGGAGAGAATTGAGCTGAATAAGGTATCTACTATGTATTATTTCTAATAATAGTAATACTGGGATAATAGTACTTTAGCTGTCATAGACATGATATGGAAATCTTCAAATGGGGTAGGTAAAAAATGTGTAAAAATTGGTCTGCACTTCTCAGGACTCATAAGAAACTTGTAGCCTGAGGGCTGTTTCAGATGTTGACCCTGGGGTTTGTTTACCCTTTGCACAGGGTTTAATAGCTTTTGCTTTGCTGATGCTGGTAGCTGCACTCATGTGAAAAATAACACGTCAAAGACAACATTGAGTATTGGTACCTCTGATAGCTGAATACTGGTGCACCAGATTGTCTTCTGGGCTGTTGCTATAGTCCCAAATATCTGTCTGTAAACGTAGTATCTTTCATTCTCTTGAAGCTCTCATCCATCTTATTACTTAATAATCTATGTCCTTCAAAGGAAAGATTCTCCATGCTAGTCTTCCTTTCTAGAGGGAGTCTGGATGATCTAAGCCATGCTTGTCATGAGCGAGTGATGGCAAAAGCATCTGCTCTGGCAGAAGTGTCAGAGGCATCAAATGCCCTTAAACCATGTTTTTTCAACAAGTTGTCCTTCAGAAATGAGGTCATTACCCAACTTCCTCTGATCTTCAGGGACAGCTTTTGCAAATACCTTCATCTTTTCCCCATAGAGGGTAGCAGTAGCGTTCCATCACAGTCTGATAATTAGCCACTCTTATGCCAAATGCAACAGAAGTAAATACTTTTCTGCCCAGATGATCCACAATTTTTCCATCATTATCAGAACACACGGAGTGAATCTGACAGTCCGGGGACCTCTGGGCTGCAGCCTCTCCCACATGTGTGTTTGGAACCAGGTGTATGTGAATACCAATAAACTCTCACGCAATAACTGCTGCCATCTAAAACTAAACTAAGGACTGTGGGAAAGACAACAGGTGTGGAGGATTACATCACTCAGACAGAGACATAACTTAGAGGAGAATTTTTTAAAGGGGATAAAATATACAGGAACGACAGAGTAGGTCACGCTGGTGAGGGAGCATCACTGTATGTGAAAAAGCATAGAGTGAAATATAGTAAAAAGCTTGAATGAGAAGAGGGCTAACCTTGGAGAGAAGGCCTTAAAAGCCAGAGGCTAAGTGACCAAGGGGAGCTAGCAAGTAGGGAACTGCAAACAGGGGAGTTTGTAGGAGGGAGCTGTAATATAATCATTATGGTTAGGAAGGGCCACATCATCAATGCCAACGCTGTTCCTGTCTCCTCCACCTGCACCTGTATACAGACAGAGAACCTAATCATGAATGGCTCTACCCAGATCCTGGTGTGGATTTGCAGAGACTGTGGCCTGCATTTCCCACTCATAGAAAGTTAGTCTGGGGGGACTATCCAGTGTGAAATGTGCTGCTGGTGGAATCTCTCATAAAGCAGGTGGGAGAGCTACAGGAGGAGGTGTCTAGGCTGAGGTGTGGAAGTATGGGGAATAAGCAGGAAGAATTCAAAATGCTAATAAACACAACTATGACATCGTGGGCATCATAGAGTCTTGGTGGGGTAATACGCATGACTGAAATATTGGTATAGAAAGGTACAGATTGCTCAGGAAGGACAGACAGGAAGAAAAGGGAGGAGGTGTTGCCTTATATATGAAAAATGTATAGGTGCCAGAGTTGTTGAAAGTCTCTGGGTAAGGATAAAAGGAGTAAAAAAAACAGGGGCGATGTCACGGTAGGGGTCTACTACAGACCACCTAACCAGGAAAAAGTGGCAGGTGTGGCTTTTTTTAAACAATTAACAAAAACATCCAAAGCACAGGACTTGGTCGTGATGGGGGACTTCAACTACTCAGACATCTGTTGGGAAAACACAACAGGGCACAGATTATCCAACAAGGTCAACTTCCCAGCAGAGGTGAGGCAGGATCAAACAATACTGCAGCCACTCCCAGCAGCCACACAAACTCTCCCTCCTTTCTGGCAGAGCCTCCTGCCCAAAAAAGTCTGTTACCTAGCCCCCAGACAACAATCATATAAGAACTGGCCAATTTCCTAAGAGTTAATTCATGCTGCTATGTGTTTTTGTAAATAATAATGCAGGTCTTGCCTTTGCCAAATACAGCTTTGCACTGTCTCTCATGGTTACGGCATCTCCCTTGGAAACAACGGTCTTTGTCACTGCATGGAGTTCCATCCTGCTTATATACATCCTCTGGGCACCAGCTTGAAGTCCCATTGCAGTACTCAGGAAGGTCACACTCACCAATACTTTCTCTGCATATTTTCCCTTGTCTATGCAACTGTTAAAATAAGAATACAAGGATCTGGAGGGGATTTCTCTCTGGAGGCCTATTCCACAAGCTGCCATTTGCCTTCTTAAAATATGTTTGTTCGAGGAGTCCCCAAAGATCTAACAGGTAAGAAAAAAAGCCACCTGCAGTTGCTTTGACATTTATTTTAACACAGATCAGGTAAGAGGAAGATGCAACATAAATACTCCTTGTGCTGTTAATTAAGGAGTGCACTCTAATTCCAGTATTTAAAATATTTATGATTCTTTCCCACTCCCAAATGATGATAAATTCTTCATATTTTGAATCAATAACAATGAACAATGGAAAATATAGTTTTTGCCTATCTACTCTTTTTTTTTTTCATGTGGAGTCTGCTGAGACTATAGCTAGGGTCTCTTTACCCACAGTATTCTGTCATTGAGGAGAGGGGGACGGGACCCACCTATCAATATCCTCTACAGAATGAGTACTTAGTAGAAGTATTACTGTAGCAGCTCGGAGCCGTAGCCAAGGACCCAGATCTCACTGTGCTCGGCACTATACAAATATGGAATAAGAAGACAGTCCCAGCCCCAAAGAGCCAGAGCCCAAGTATAAGACAAGAGACAAATGATGGATTCAGATAGATAGGGGAGCATACAAGGAAACAATTTGACTAACTATTGTCAATTTTTGGTAGGCATTAAGGAAAAGGAGAGTTTTGAGGTGGGTTTTGGAGGGTAATTGCTTAGTTTTAATCAATGTTTATGGAAAGCTCCTCACAATCATGAGGGGCATCATGGGAGAAAGCATGAAAGTCCTTGTTTGAAAATTGAACAAGTGGGTAATGGAGGCTGACCCCAGGGGTGGATTGGAGTTGCGCATCGACCACTCAGTAGTAAATGAGAGATGACATGGTGGGGATTTGTCAAGAAGGGTCTTGAAAGTGAAGAAAAGTAGCTTATATTTAATATGATATAGAAGAGGGAGACAGGAGAGAGAAGTAAAAAGACAGGTGACATGGTCAAAGCAACAGACTAGGAAAATGATCTTTGCAGCAACGTTATGAAAGGATTAGGGCTGTTGATTAATCACAGTTAATTCACGTGATTAATTCAAAAAATTAATTATGGTTAAAAAAATTAATCAAGATTAACCGCAGCTTTAATCTCACTGTTAAACAATAGAATACCAATTGAAATTTATTAAAATATTTTAGATGTTTTTCTACATTTTCAAATATTTTGATTTCAATTACAACACAGAATAGAAAATGTACAGTGCTCACTTTATATTATTATTTTATTAGAAATGTTTGCACTGTAAAAATGATAAAAGAAATAGTATTTTTCAATTCATTTCAGACAAGTACAGTAGTGCATTTTCTTATTCATGGAAGTACAAATGTAGATTTTTTATTACATAACTGCACTCAAAAACAAAACAATGTAAAAGTTCAGAGCCTACACTTCCACTCAGTCCTACTTCTTGGTTAGCCAATCTCTAAGACAAACAGGTTTGTTTACATTTACGGGAGATAATGCTGCCCACTTCTTATTTACAATGCCACCTGAAAGTGAGAACAGGCGTTTGCATGGCACTTATGTAGCCGGCATTGTAAGGTATTTACATGCCAGATATGCTAAATATTTGTATGCCCCTTCATGCTTCAGCCACCATTCCAGAGGACATGCTACCACGCTGATGACACTCGTTAAAAGAAAAGTGTTTCTTACATTTGTGACTGAACTCCTTGGAGAGAATTGTATGTCTCGTGCTCTGTTTTACCTGCATTCTGCCATATATTTCATGTTATAACAGTCTTGGATGATGACCCAGCACATGTTCTTCATGTTAAGAATACTTTTACTCCAGATTTGACAAAACACAAAGAAGTTACCAATGTGAAATTGTACGGGGAGATTTTGGCAAACCAGTAAAGTGCCTGAAACCACTATGGCTTATTGTTAAAGGCAGCCTAGGCAGCCAGCTGTAAATTGGCCATTCAGCAGTCTCAGCTTGACCAAGGCAGGAGGGGGGGGGAGTTTTGGGTGCCTCAGAAAGGGCAGCTTGACCCCACGTCCTTCCTGATAAGAATTGTGTTGAAGTTGCTGATACATCCATTTTAAAAGAGCAGGCTGTGCCCCCAGGAATGTCTATTGTGGTCTCAAGGCTGCAAACTCTGGAAAAACCCACACCTGGTTAATCAATAATCAGAAGGAGCCTCTTGCTTGCCAATTGGAACTGCTTGCTTAACAAGTTTTCTTTAAGGGACATGTCATGTCATTCTATTACTAATGTATAAATAAGGGGAAAAAGCTTGAGATGGTTGGACTCGTTTGGGGCCTCTTTTGGACTCTTTTTGGACTCTCCCTCTGGATACATCTTGCAGTCCCCACCGGCAGACGGAAGATTTCGCCAATGGAAGCCTGCCGCTGTGTTACTCGAAAGCCATACTCAGCTCCGGTAATTATCAAGGGTTGGGGGTGTTTTACTAGTCTGTTGCGGACGTGTGTAAGTGCTTGAGACTAAGTAAAGTGTAGCTTTAAGTGAAAGCACTCTTGTGTTGTTCTGTTTGTGCCAGCCATCTATCGGTCGGACAGCCGTGTCTCCCATGATTTATTTCCTGACACCACCTCACACAGAGTAAAAGTTACCAAGAGCTTTGGGTTGAAAGAACTCCGGGTAACAAAATTTCTAAAGATACAGCACTTGACCCAAGGTTTAAGAATATGAAGTGCCTTCGAAAATCTGAGAGGGACGAGGTGTGGAGCATACTTTCAGAAGTTTTAAAAGACCAACATGCTGATGGAGAAACTACAGAACCCAACCACTGAAAAAGAAAATCAACTGTCTGCTGGTGGCATCTGACTCAGATGATGAAAATGAAAATGCGTCGGTCCATACTGCTTGGATCGTTATCGAGCAGAACCCGTCATCAGCATGGACCCATGTCCTCTGTAATGGTGGTGGAAGTATGAAGGGACATATAACTCTTTAGTGCATCTGGCAGTAAATATTTTGCGATGCCAGCTACAACAGTGCCATGCGAACACCTGTTCTGACTTTCAGGTGACATTGTAAACAAGAAGCGGACAGCATTATCCCCCGCAAATGTGAACACACTTCTTTGTCTGAGCGATTGGATGAACAAGAAGTAGGACAAAGGGGACTTGTAGGCTCTAAAGTTTTACATTGTTTTGTTTTTCAATGCAGTTATTTCTGTACATAATTCTACATTTGTAAGTTCAACTTTCATGATAAAGAGATAGCACTACAGTACTTGTAATGGGGGAATTGAAAAATACTATTGAGTTATTTTTTTACAGTGAAAATATATGTAATCAAAAATAAATATAAAGTGAGCACTGTACACTTTGTACTCTGTGTTGTAATTGAAATCATTATACTTGAAAATGTAGAAAACATCCATAAATATTTAAATAAATGGTATTCTATTATTGTTTAACAGCTCTGTTTTAGCCATGTTGAGCTTGAGCTGATGGCTGGACCTCCACGAGGATACATCAGAGATTTCTGTTTGGGGAGAGGAAGACAAGCCTGGAGTAGCAAAGTAGATCTGTAAGAATGTGCTTTGTTTTATCTGAAAGGAGAGTCCGGATGCTTCCTCCTCTGCCAATTCTAGAGGATTCCATGAATCTTTGAGTAAATGCAGCCTTGTGGCAAATATTTCTGAATAACTGGGCACAGGGAAAAAAGAAGGTCTGGCTGTGTGCCCAGCACTACACATCTATAGAAAACATCCTTTGGAACTTTTGCCCAGTTTTTCTCAGCTACTGGGGTGGAAGGATCGGGTGATGTGATGAAGTTGGATTGCTCTCAGAGGGCTCCTACTCATGAGGACAGAAGTAAAGGGCTGTAAGGATGGTAGGTAGTGGAAGTGAATATAGAGTTTCTTCAATCCCATGAGCTTCTCTTCTGAGTCCCATATATCCTGACCAGTTGAGATACTGATCTGCAGGGTGGGCTGAATGGAAGCACTTTCTACAACTGTACTGGTTCTTGCAGCAGCAGGTGCCACACTTATTGCATCAGTGATAGCACAAGAACTCTCTGCTGTTGACACAGGCTTTTCTGGGGTCTAGAGGAGGTGACTTTATCCTTTATTGCGGAATCCTAAATTGGGGGAATGGCTGTCACCATGGTCTCCTCCAGATGATCTGAGAAATCTCAGACAGATCTCCAGAGAGTGCAGAAGAGGAACTTATTTCTGTTTAAATAAGGATATCTTGCACTGAGAGCTGGAATAGGCTGTCCTCCTTCATGTGAGCCATCTTGACAGTGGCCAGGCTCACATGACACTGGACATATAGGCACTCCATGCTATGGCGGGAAGCCAAGAATGACGATGAAGGAAGAGAAGGACAATAGACAAAAATTAGAAGTCCAGGTAGGAAGATAATATTGGGGAAAATATCAATTGGGGGATGTTTTGAACTCATATACGGTATGTCTACACAGCATTTGGGAAGGAGCCTCTCAGCCAAGATCCACAGACTTGTGCTAGGAGGGCTCGTGATAGTGCACTTTTTTAGCTGTGTAGCCGGTGCTTTGACATTTTGACTCAGGCTGGAGCTTGTGCTCTCAAACCCAGGTTTGGAGAGTGAGCTCCAGCCCAAGCCACAACATCAAAGCACTGTCTACACAGCACACTAGAGCACACACTACTAGCACAAGTCTGTTGACCTAGGCTGGGAGGCTTGCTTCCAAAAGCCGAGTAGACATTCCAATAGGGCTTGGAGCCATGCACTGCCAACAGAGGCAGAACATTCTGGAGAGGATGTTGATGGGCAGGTCCTTTCAACCTCTCACCAGTCTGTCATTGACAGCTTTAGCTGCCATCCTAGGTGAGGGTCCTAACTGCCAAGTTATAAAATCATTCTCACTTTCCCTGGCCCAATGACGATTCAGACATGCATAATGGATTGTTATCCAAAAACATTTGATTGGGTTAAAATCATTCAGAGAACTCTACATGAATTAGTGAATGGTTTTGGGTTGACTAAAATTTCCTTTTTCAGCAAATAAACTATTTGCTAAAAACAAATTGCTCAACTTTAATCCCAATCCATCTACATGGGATTAGCAGATGCAGCACTTGAGCAGGAAATTGTGAAAATGAATAGTATTGCCACTGGCTACTAACTTTTAAAACAAGTAATGAAACATTCAGTTTACCATAAAATACAAAACCTACTATACGTTTTTCTTACCTGACAGTTTTTGCAGCAAAGTCCAGAAACACAAGCAGCACCTTGTTTTATTGTACAATTGGATAGGCAACAACCACTCCGTAGGCACACCTTCAAGTACAAAATGAATGGCACCTCACCTTACAAATCTGTTGTGGGACTCCCCTGGCATAACAGCACTCTTACCATTTATTGTTTGATTTCAAACAGTAACAAAGCTTAGTGATTTGAGATGTGTCAACTCCCATTTCTTACCTAGTCCTAATTACGTAGAATTTTTTAAAAGGTATTATTATTACTTCTATTATTTGCTATTTCTTCTACTCAAGGAATCCAAATAGAATGCTGCCTACAAGAGAGGAAGGATGGTCCAGTGGTTAGGGCAGCCACTTGGGACTATGGGTAATGGGTTCAATTGTCTGCTCTGCTGTGAGCTTAAGCAAGTCACTTAGTTTTCTATTTGTCAATTCCCTATCTGTAAAATGGGGGCAATAGGGAAGTACGATCTCACAGGGGTGTTGTGAGGATAAATACATTGAAAAGATTGTCGAATGCTAGACATTATAGTTATATAAGTACCATAGATATATGTAATATTTCTAATGATTTTAAGATATGTGCAAACAAAATTAACTTGTTTTAGTTCAATGTAAACTTTTAAGGCAGATTCACCAATACACTAGAGTAACACAAAGAAGCCAAAATGTACTTTGTGAATCTGGCACTGATTTTCTAATTGACTTACTGGCTTGCAGGGTTGTGTTAGTTAGACTGGTACTATGTGATATTACGTGTGGGGAAAGCAAAGTCCATGAGTCCCAATGTCGCCATGCTTTAAGGGCACCCCATGTACTCCTGCCTCAGTTCTCCTGTCTGTGTTGCCAAAATGGGAGTCGTGCCAAGATAACCTTTTAAGGTGGGGAGCCTTTTAAGCACTGATGTTTGAGCTAGTATGCAGCTATGCAATCTTTAAAGAACAGTGAGTTTAGCCACATAAGCTGCATGTTTCCAGTCTCCCCTTGAACCAGAGCCATTCTACCCAACAGAATTGTGGCATATAAATTAGCTGCAGATGATGGGTGGTGATTGATTGGGTTAGCACTGATGTCACAGTGGCCCAGTGAAGTTATCTAAGCTATTGACCTGAGTCTGTTTGTAGCCAGTTGTGCTTATTGAGCCTACAAATTTACTCTAATTATGAACTCAACTGTAAAATGTAAGTGTGAAGGAACTTCTCAGGCTGGTGACAACACCAGTGGTGATGTCACCAGAGGAGACGGAACCACTGGGGGGTTTGGTCAAGGTGACAGTTGGAAAGTGGATCTCGAGAGAGGGAGATCTGGGAATTATGACATGGCAGACAGAGGCTAGACTTGCCTGGAGAATGGGCTAAATGAAGAAGTGTTGGTATAGCTCTGAGAAGGGAACCTGAAAAGGCTGAAAATAGCTGACCTTAGTGTCCCTAGCCCCAGAAGCTTCCCACATAAGTAGAATGGTGTAAGACCTGGTCTATACTAAAAATCCTCACCCTTGAGTGACAAAGTTAAGTTGACCTCACCCCGGTGTAGACAACACCACGGTGTAGACAGAAGTGCAGTGCTGCAGCTGTGCCACCCTGGCATTTCAAGTGTAGACAAGCCTTTAGTTATTTAGGCACCTGATTGCCACTTCTTGAAGTGATGCTATATAATAATTATTACAAGCAAGAGCGTATCTCTTGGTATTCTAGATCCTGGGGAGAAAAGACTAAACCCTTTTAACTCTGAGTCTAAAAGAAACAAGGAGTGAATATGGGATGGTGGCAGCAACAATACCAGATAGAAAGGATATGTGTCAGCTGTTCACCAGAGAAGAAGCAGGTCCTCAAAGTAACTGAAAGTTTATATATTGTCACAATGACCTTTACATCTTTTCTT